GTGGTAAGAGAAACAGGTTTTCCTTGTATCCCTACTATTTAAGAAAGTGAGGAAGGAGGGTCGGGGGGCGCCTATTCGAGAAGAGCGCTTGTTTGACTTAGTGCTCTGACGGGTGGGCGCTCGTTGGGGGAGGGTGCTTGTAGGAGGGCGGGCGCTTATTCGAAGAAATAAGGTACTTGGTTTCCCTAGACAATACTGCAACATCAATTTAGTAACCAGGAAATAATTTATCTAAACAGTCATTAAAAAAATAACTCACGGACCTTCTTGACATTGCTAGAAGAAATTTTCCGATCGTAACAGTAAGAGCAGAAATTTCGGAATCTTTCAAGAATATGGCATAAAGTAAATATCAACCAGTCCCTTTGTTACATTTTTTTGAAAATTTGAAATCGGTCTAATACACCTTTCACGTACCATCGACCAGATCAAAGTATTCTCTTCATTTTAACACAAGTACATGATTTACTTCCTTAACTTTATGGATTTTGCTACTTCTCGTTTAATGGAATACATTTAAATCATGATTCATAAAACGGTTTTTCAGTACATCACAGTTCGAAAATGAAAAAATAGTGGATTTTGGGGATCACAAAATTATATTAAAACGTCCCCTCCCCGTCCAGTTTGTAAATTAACGTGGTCGGCTGAGGCTTTTCTGACAGGAAACCATTCTGAGATAAGAAGCCGGGAAGGAAGGAAGGACAAGAAATTGGAAATCTTAAGATACTATTAATCCTTTCACTTCCAGATCTGATCTGATACATATTTCCTTGTCAACTGGTTACGAGGATTTGATGTTCAATCAAGATAATCTTTTGTACCTGATAAGTTTGAGTAATCTCATTACCTGTTTGCTGGATAATATATGGATATTATAGGGAGAAGTTACATGTTAATCACTTCGGGGAGTTAAAGGGTTAAGAGGTATATGAGAAGTAGAGGCTTCGTGGTTAGTTAGGGGGGGGGGGGCATGGGTAATTTTCCATGGACCACCTTTCCATCAATCCCGTAGTCCTCATCTACTTGCTCGATTGGAACATGTGCATTCAATTCAGCAGTTGTACAAACAGAGCAGGTCTGAAGCAGCCAGTCAAATCAGAGTGGATGAAGCCTACTGGTCCCATTGGTTCATCGTGATGACCTTTATTTACTATTTCTTACTATGTGGATTAGGATATTCGGTCGGGGACGACTTGAAGCGAAGATCGGTTTACTTTTCCAAAAACTTCGAAGTTCTGAGATGGGCTTTTTGAACGTTGTTAGTCTGCTCTTACGCATTGACGAAATCCGCCTTATATGGAGTCAGAACTACTTTGACATCTGAGCGTTAAATGAAACCGCCTCGACCAATATTATATCGATGTTTGTGTAGAGGGTTACGATATTGTCCGCCATGATTGAAACCGATGTAGTGGTGGAGTTTGTATTTACATAAGGAAGTCGATATCTTTCGTAGAGAGGACTGACCTAGTGCCGGAAAATCTCGAGGCTGCTTGCATCGAAGGAACAAAAACCGAATAGTAGACCTTTCATTGCTTCATTGATTTATAAGCCGCCGAGTGCACCTGTAGATATATCTGATAACATAGAACGTACGATCGGACAAATAGATAATGAAGACAAGGAAACCTTTATTCTAGGTGACCTCAACTGCAACTTATTAGACCAAGCTAATCTTGATAAATGACGCAAAGCATTTGTTGCGAATCTTGGAGGTATATCAGCTTACGCAATTAATAATTAAGCCCACATGAATAGCGCAATGGTCTAAGTCACTTTTAGATGTATGTATTACTTCCTCCCCTGAAAAGATGATCCATTCAGATATATTTCATGTCGGCCTTAGTAACCATTTAATTTATGCAGTTTTCGAGATTAATAGCTTACCTAAGTGCAATAGAACAAGGGAAATCGAAGTTAGAAATTTAACAGTCAACTTTTTCTCGAAGACTTGCAAGCTTAACCCTGGGCGCATTTATCTCCTTATGAAGGTGTCGTGAATGCAATGTGGAGTTGTTGGAAGACTATGTCCTTAGGAGTGTCGACAGGCACACCCCTGTCAGGTCAAAAAGAGTGAGAAACAGAACCAGCCTTTCCTTCCTAAGTTGTCTAAGGATATCATGGATAAAATGCTGAAGCGTGACCATCTTAAGCGCTTAGCTATAATAAATAACGATGATGTTAGTTGGGGAAAGTGCAAGTCTTCCAGAAATGAAGTAAATGTTGCATTACGTAAAGTTAAAAGTGCTTTTTACGCTTCACAAATCTAGAATGTAATTGGTAACCCAAGGAAGGCTTGGAAATCGTTAATAATATTCTCGAGCGCAAACAGCGTGCGGATGATGTTTGGGAAATCATGATTAACGATCTTAGTGTTTACTTAGGAAATTGTGCAAATATTCAACGAGCATTTCACTAGTATCAGCCCTAGCCTTGCCGAAAATATAGATAATAACAAGTGTGACTACAGTCAATTTGTTCATAGGGTTGACAGGAGTTTTCACTTTCAGCCTGTAAGTTCATCTCAGGTCTATAAATTTCTCAATTCTTTGCCTGTCTGCAAGGCTACTGGGATCGATAAAATATCAACCAAAGTTTTGAAGTTGGCTGTACCAGTTGTTTCAGAATCCCTAGCGCAGATTTTCAACAAGTTACTTGTCTCGCATGTTTTTCCTACTAAGTGGAAGGTGGCTCAAGTAAGCGCCCTTCATAAGAAAGGTTCGCGCAACATTTTGGACAATTATCGGCCATTTTCGATTCTTCCAATAGTAGGCAAAGTCTTTGAAGGGATATGATACAAGCAGCTGGTTGAATATTTAGATACTGAGAATTTGTTATCAGCGCATCAATTTGGTTTTAGACGCTCATTCCACCGTTTCAGCTTTGCTTGACTTTTCAAATGAATGGTATTGCAACATGGATCGCGGCCTTTGTAACCTAGTTATTTGTCTTGACCAACAAAAGGCCTTCGATACGGTAAATCACATGCTCTTCCTTGGCAAACTTGAGGCTTATGGTATTAGAGAGAATACACTTAAAGGGCATGTAAACCCAAAAATACATGTTTTTCTCATACTATGTAAAAAGTGGCTTAGAGAACGAATCTGAAATTCGTTTCATCCAATTCGACTTATTTTAGGAGAAAATCGGCATTTTCAACTGAAATTCCATTGCCGGTAAAAACAATAGCGAGAATCGTGACGTAAGCGGTGGAACTAAAATATTGCGCAACACATATTCCCTAGTAGAACTGATGTGGTAGCTCGTGTAAGTAGCGGTAGTTCGAAGATGTTTTTCAGAAGATAGCGACTCGAATGCCCTAAGCTTAGTATATGACGGCGATGGAGATGACCTAGAATCTTTAGGAGAGTCTGGGCTACGTCCTTAACAATACGAGCTGCCAAGGGTTCACCGAAGCGATCCGCACGAACACAGTGTTGACAGCGATGCGACCTCCTCGGAAACTCAGACTGGTATCTAATTTACTGTGTGATTTACTTGTATTTGATATGAAAACCCAATAAAGCAAGGGCACAATCTAAAAGAATGCAACAGAAATTTTTTAAACCCGCTGAGCTTCCAAGGGTGTTTTATATAAAATTGTCAAAGGTGCGAGTGTGGAACATGTCAACCAATGCCGACAACTCGTGAAAGTGTTTGTTGTTCGGAAATCGGGCAATTGTGGCAAAAAGTAGAGGAGCGAGGGTCTGAAACCCAGATAAGTTGTATCACTGAGTATCCAGGTTTTAGTCAATTTGCCTCGATTTCTGGATGCTGGAGACGGCCTATTACGCGTACAGGCAGCAGTAAGGCACAGAGAATCACACCGGAAACGAGTAAGCTAAATGTTTTCCGTTTCATCTGTTTTGTTACATTTTGAGATCGATTTGCTTGAGTTGTTTCTGTCATTGATTTAATAATAGCTAGCTGTTTATAGTTCCGAATAATTTGCTTCTGGTAGGGTCTGAATTGTCGGTACAACACCAGGAAGAAAAATGACTGCTACAAACAACAGAATGTTCGAACGGCTCGACGAAATCGGCTATTTTCATTTGAACAAGTTTCACAAATTGTGGCTTCAAATTTGCGTCATTTGGAAATATTTGCGTTGTATGCCGTTTTGTTTGAATCAGTACAAAACTGGACGACACAACGCTTTACCATTATGAAAAAACTGAGTATATTGAAGCAAACTGTAAGTAAAAAAATCATGACGAGACCGGCAAACAACGTGGAAAAGACTGGCTGTGGAAAAGACTTCGTGTCTCACGCGATTATTAAACAAAACTTTGGAGGTTCCACCCGTGACGTCACAGGAAAGATGGCGCCATTCAAAATGGCGAATGTTTCGAATTTGGGTTGCAGAAGGCTGCAGAAACTCCATAATAGATGTGCTAGTGTAATTATGCGTTACAAAAACGAGACTGGACAGTCTGAATTAGCACTACGTCATCTTGGCTGGAGTTTACTACGTGAACGTAGAATTCACATCAAGGCTTGACAAATGTTTGAGTTTCTCCATAACTTGGCACCTGTAAGGCTTTCGAATATTTTCAGAGACTCACGCTCGGCCAACAATAATCATTTAAGGTAAGCTGATAATTAGTTGGCCGTTCCGTTGCCCAAGATTGAATTTCAAAGAAGAGTTGCAGCTATAATGGTGCTAAGATCTGGAATTCTTTAGACGGAATGACATACGTAGTTGTGCTGAAACTTTGGTTACGTTTGATGAGCTTATTTCAACATATAAACCAAATGTGACATATTGATTTTCAATCATTTCTTAGGGCTATTTTTTATGAATATTTTAAGCAGTTTTTAACTTTTATACTTAGTTCACGCCACTACTGGAAACCAGCTTTTTATTATGTTGATTACAGGCTAGCGTGTTAAAATAAAGTTGATCTATCTATCTTTCCTTTATTGACATCACAAGGCTCAAAAGGGTTCCGTTTTTTTTCTAATTTAAATAACTATAAATTAGTTCAGTTCATCATGTACAGTTGCAAAACTGAGCGCTTAAAAACAAAACTTTTCAGCCTTATGAAAAGTCAGCCTTACTGACTCAATATTTAAAAATTAGCGGATTTAGTTAAAATCTTACAATGTGCACAGTGTACAGCCACAATAGCACTATAACTTAACTGTCAATCACTTGACAGTTTTGAGAGTACAACCAATACAATACTGTGTTAAATTATTTTACATTTCAGAGTTAAGGACACACTTGTCAAAAATGGTCTCCCTTCTTTCTCCATACTCAATGGACTCTGAAAACTGAATGTCAACCACTATTTACACTAATCTCGAATGGAATGTTTAGAACTTTATTTAAGAAGACGCCTTTTGTGTATTAACAAACAGCTAAATTTGTTCCCATCATGTTGAACGCCATGGAAAATTAAAACAAAAAACTAATCCTTAATCATAAAATTTATCTCACATTGTTTTCTGGCTTTTAGTGAAGACTTCAATCTATAGTTGAGGTTTTAATCTTTGCCACATTTGAAAATCTATGATTTTATAAAGAATGGCTGCATTGAGGACATCTTACGTATGTAACAAAAGAAATGAGAAAATTAACTGCACAGTCACCCTAATGAAGTAATCATTTGTCTGGGAAGCATATAATCAAGCCTACTTAACTAAAAAATGACAGAAATACCTCTCTACCTCAATAATACCATGAAAACCAAATTTTGAAGCTCAAAGCTGTAAATCAAACCTACAACCAACAACGGTGGACATCGACAAATAGCCTAAAATCAAAATATATTCAAATCCAACAATCAATTTCAAGGACAAGACACTCTGACTCCAGAGAAACATCTCACATGTTCTTACCAATGTTGTGGAAGGCAGTTTCCATGTTAGTGAAGGTACCAATTTACCTTACCTAAGTGATTCTAAAAATATATTTCATTATTTTTTATCCAACCGTTGATTGGTTGTACATTCGATCACAACACCGAAGTCTCTTACCATTGGTCAAAAACCTACCAGGCCAACCAATCATTTTGAAATGTGTTTTGCTTAATCAGGTTTCCCAAATGTTTTTCCAAATTTCCATCAAACAGTGAATACAACTTCGGAATTGACTTCTCTAGCTGAACAGATCTGAAGGAATTCTTTCAGTGGATGGACTGGTCTGGTCAGCCAGTTCTGACCAATGGTAAGTTTCTCTAGTTACAAGCAGTCTACTGAGCCAATCCTGGTCTGTTACATTTCCAGATAGGACCTAGGCTCCTGCTCATCACCTGAGTCAGTAACTGACCCAGGATCTGGCTCTCCTTCTGATCCATACCAGTAGCTCCTATGCTCTCTCCAGTATTCATCTGTTGGCCATTCTTCTTCAGGTTTGACATTCCCTTTGCCACCCTGTCAAAAATGACAAACCTACATTCAACATTACTTTATTAAACAACATACATCTGAACTCAAACTCGTTGAACCCCGTTACTTTTTATATGAGGAGAAATTAGGCCAAGAGTATTTTGACTAAGTCATTTTAAAACAACTTTTATATTGAGAAATGTTCCTTGTAAGCTAACATAGCAAGGCTCACCAAAGTTTAGATATATTCCAATTACATCCATGGTGGGGCCAGTGCTGATTGTGTTATTAGAGTAAAAAGCTACAGTGGTCAAGAAATATACATTACATCGTATGATTAACAAAATAACATTAAGTGACCACCTTTCCTAGAGTCCTACCGGTACACATACCTGACAAACTCACCCAAAGAATACAAGGTAACTTTTAAGACAAAGGTTCAGTAGTTCATGTGAGAAAAAGGAAATGCTGATTTCTCCTCTTAAAGGTTATGAATATTTACTTAGTGGCTCATCCACAGTTAGTACTCATTTTAAAACTAAGGAAACTGCATAAGTGAACATTATTTGTGAGCATTTCAAATGCTGCAATATTTTTGTAGTTCAGCAGCTCATCAGCTTAGCAGTCTGCTTAGTAAGTTACTATAAAAAATGTAAAGACGTATACCTACTTAGGGCGAACTTGATTCAGATAGATGTATACTTAAGTGTTTTTGTCATACAGGCTGATTAATAAGAAGTTCTCTGGATAGAGTTGGATAAAAATAGTTTGATCAAGGTAACCCCACACCAATTGCATTAGAGAATCTCTACTGCGAAATTTGAACCAATATCTCCCTTACAGCTGTAGCATTCTTTCTCTACCCATTTTCAAGAAAGCCCTCGGTCATTTCTTTTCTAATCGATAGTTTTCCTGGAGAAACTTTTAGTTCGGTGGGAGAAAAGGAAAATCTGTGCAGAAGAAAGTTTAAGAGAAAAAAAAGTGAAAAAACTAAGGTCTCAAATCACTTCATAGGGACAGATGCTCAGCTCATGTTAAAAACAAGCAGTTGTTTGCTCTCTCAATTCCTCTTTCTCTTACGGAAATCAAGACCACTTTCCGAGGAAAATAAAAAAGCTGAACGAATAAACAAAATTTGAAAACCAGTATAGGCAGATTTCCTCAATTTTAACACACAAGTGTAGAGAGCAACTTCTTGATCTCTTCCAAACACTGACATTAACTTTCTGTCATTAATATCTGAAAACAAGCGGCCGTTCTCACATTCACGCGCACGGTGTGGTAACGCATTTACTTTGGTTTTATTGTATTTTTTCCTTTTTTCTGGCCCTGATTATAAAAGGAATAGATTTATCAAGGTTAATGGGATGAAATTAGGAATGGAGTGTATCCAGTTTCTGTGTTTCCACTGTAAATACTCAAAATAATATTGTTTGGGACACTGAATACACCGTATTCATAAATGGCCGCCACGCGGAACGGTCTGGAACCTACAGACTACAGACTTAAGGCTTCAGCCCTCCTCAAACGTCAACAAAACTTACCCAAATGGGTTCTCATCTTAACTGAAAAAATGACTTGCTTCCAAGTTTAACAGATTAAAAGGTAGCGACAAATAGTGACTGTAAAATGTCCTAATGGAAAGTAAAACCTTTTACTCGAAATCATTAAAATCATCAAAAAGCCACAATATTTGCTTCCCTTTGGATTTCCTCTCTTACTTTGGCATCCTTTCAACATTTAATTAACGCTAGCTAATGTAAAGTAGGTATCACCAATGCTGAAAGTTACAACGTGTTTAAATTCAAGTAAAAGGAAAATTTCTGCACACCTAGTCCGTTACTGATCGACAAATAAAAAGCATACCACAGAAAGAAGCAAACTTAAAAAAATGTCATATTTTCATCGTAAACAGTCTTTTTAATTCTTTATTCTTATTTTTTTAGCGGGTTAATTGATGAAGTGATTTTAAAACGCCTAGAAACTACTGCAAGGTGGTCCAGACTCGCCAGTTCTTACAGAAACACAGCAAGAAATAGATGCAAATAACAAAGCGACAGCGATGTAAACAGCGAAATAAAAACATAACTGCCCATCGTGGTATTTACACATGCCGCATTGTAATTAAAAATTACATTTACAAACTGATTTGAACCGACTGGTGGTGACTTCTCATGAGATGAACTTGACTCTTGTTCTATAAAAGCAAAGGAAATATCGCACTTGCTCCGCGTACCAAGGGCGTAAAAATTCTTGAAACAACACCACAGGAAATTGAACAGAATAGACATGAATAATGACTACATATGCAAACTAAGATCACAAAACTTACGTGGTATTGTGTCCGCAACCAGGGGATGTTACTCTGACGTAAAGCTGCACTCAAATCTATCACCTGTTGCTTTGTCATTGTAACATCATCAAGCGACAGCGCCACCAGGTGAGGAACACAGCAGAGATGTCGAGTGAGAACACTTACTCCTTCACCAAGAGGGTTATGTGACAAGTTGAGATAGCGCAGGCTAGGAGCCTGGTGCAGAGATCTGGCGATGGCTGCGGCAGGTTTGGCTGTTAAATTGATATTTTCTAGTTTTAATCTCACGAGTCTGTCAGTGAAGATGATATGAGACACCAGGGTCTCTGCCAACTGAGCATCAATGGTTTCACACGGTTTACCAGCAATGAATAAACACCGCAGAGAAGTGCAAACTGGTAAGCAATCAGCCAGTACCTTCATCTCTTGCCTTTCTAAGTTGGCAATATTAATGTTCCTCACACAGGAAAGGCTGTTTGGAGTCGGATCAGTGATGCGATTAGTGTTTTTAGTCAAACACGAAGCTGTTTCGTTGTCCTGTTCATTCAACGGATCACCGATGCGCTTCACCAGAGTAGACTCTGTTGTTGATGAAATGAGCTCTCGCAGCATTTCAGTCGGAAAAGTGTCAAAATCTTCTTTCCATAGTTGATAAACATAAAGGATAATTTTTCTCTCTCTCTTCAAGAGGAACTCTTTCAAAGGACGACGTGGGCACTTCTTTAGAAAATCTGCGGCTTTTTTTTCACCCGAACAGCTCAAAAAAACAGCACCTGTGTCCTCCGCTAAAGTGATTAAGTCTCGATAGTTTTTCTCGGAATCCTCTTTCTTGTGTTTGAAAAAAATGAAGTTGGGTATCACGGCAGATTTCAGCACGTGTCTATTAGCAGTAATGTTCAGCTGGTTAGAATCAAGTAACAAAACATCTCCAGTGTAAGAGGGAAACATCGAACAGAGATCCTGCCTCTTCTCGGCCGAACACCAAATATAGCTATGCGAGATAAGCTCTAAATAAAGCTGTTGATCTCGAGACAACCGTTTTTCAAGCTGCTGAAGCAGATCGATGAAATCACATTCCGACAAAGATTCCTTTCTTCCAACAAACCCTACATGACGGAAAACTGCACACGCGGCCTCTGTTGACAGCTCACAAGCAAATTTCAGAACTTCATTCATCTTCACGATCTTTTCAAATGATTCAACTTTGGAAAGGCTAGGCGTACTTTCTCCTTTAATCGACAACACTTCCTCCTTAATGTGCCAGGCTGCAAGGAACTCCTGGACGGATTTATGAATGAAATAGGCCCCTTTCTCAGGATTTAGACTCGTAAGATTGACAATCTGGAAAAGCCCAACTTCACTTAATTTTTCAAAACTTCTTGAAATATTGCTGGGGAGTTCGCTGCAGCGTACGTAAAGATGGTCTTGCAGAAGCGCTTCAAAGGCAACTTTTCCAAGGTTACTAAGGTCTTCTCTGGCTTCTGTTGAGGTCACTTTCTGAAATGGCATAGGCTGTTGACTTTCACCTTTGTGATCTAGCATTGTTTGGATGAATTGTGTGAATATGTCGGCCCGTGATTTTGGCCGTCTTTCACGATGTTTCTCTTTCCACAAAAGGCACAGCATTAGTAGAAGGAGAGGTATTTCTGCCATGTCTCGGAGACCTTTATCTTCCAGGTAGCACATAAACTCGTCAAGATCTTGTTCACCTGCCAAAAATTTTCTCGCAAAGGTTCCGATTTGTTTCCAGCTTTTAAAACCTTGAATTTCTAACTGAACGCGGCCGGGGCATTTTAACTCGTCACATTTAAGTTGTCGCGTGGTGACAATAACGTGACAATCTCTTAGTTGCTCGCCCTTCCAAATTTCAAGGATGGGTGAGTGTTCTTTTGCACAGCTGTACTCATCGTAGCCATCCAAAATAAGAAGCACTTTATCTTGATTGTTAGTTATGTAATCATAGAGACTATCAACTGAGATCGGACCATCACTGGCCAGCAATTTAGACGCACGTAAAACATCACGGATGTTTCCCACGTCACACACATCTCTCAACTTAATCAAAAGCAAAATGGAAAAGTTGTTTAGGATTTCTTTTAAGGCTTTCGACCAGTCATATGCAGCCTTTTTACAAAACGTACTCTTGCCAATTCCTGGTCGCCCGTAAACAAGCATTCGTTTATGTTCTCCCTTGAACATGTCGGTGTAGTCTCGAAGTTCCTTTTGTGTCACTCCGCCAGGCTTCCTGTGATCTCTCACCCAATTCAACGGAGTGTAGACCTCATCTATCGGAACAGAAGAGCTGTCGTCCCATGGAACGATTTTCACCTCACTGGAGGTGTCATAATAGGACTTAAGCTTCTTTTGGCACTTCTCAACATTCAACTGTTCTGAAAAAATAGAGAAAAGAAACATGAACTTTCATTGCTGGGATGAGTAAGCGTGCGACGCCAACAGACGCAATTTTTTAGCGCTTTTCAGTCAAATGGAGGCAAGGGCGGAACGAGCGCAAAGTCCGAGTTAAGTGCGAGGGAAGAAGCTCCAAAACAATACTCTCCTTTATTTTTTATCATCGATCATTAATTTTCGGAATTTAAGCAGCTGAAGTAAAACAGGACGAGAATTAACTGTTATGATAAAGAACAAGGAAATATCTTTTATCGTCCTTCCACGAGCGTGGGACAGAAAAAAAATTGAGTCATCACCAGGAATAGATCTTAAAACCTTCGGATTCTGAGCTCGGACAAAAGTAACTATAATTTATCAAAACGTAATCTTAACATGGAATATCTTCACTTGATAATTATAATACCTGCAAGCCTTCTACGTTTATTCTCTGAAGGATCATCAGTTTTACAACTCTCCTCTCCTGTTGAAACGTCTGAAAAGAGAAAAGAAATTGTACTGTAACGAGAATTAAAATACACTTCACTAAATTTGTGAAATGGGTAACAAGCAAGAGTCGAAATAAGTGCTGATTGAAGATGAAAATCTCATGTAAGCCCGCTCACGGAATAAAAGAGAGAAGAGAAATTGATGGACTCGGAGAACTGAAATTCATTGGAACGGAATAAAAGCTAAGATTTAGATCTCAACAAAGTTTTAAACCGGTCAGTACCAGCGAGGTAATTGGTAGAAAGGTAAACAAAGAAAACTTGGGTTCATGTTACCGTGCATAAGAGTCTGGACACGAAAACAATAGTTAGGGGGGCAGGGGGAGGGGGGTGGTTGAAAAGCGTGTTTAATGAACGATTTGAAATACCTACAACCTAAGAGAGATAAAAGATTTAAGATTAATTAAATACAAAAGTAAGTAATTTCTTATTAGCCCCCTCTTATTTGTAATTTTAGAGCGTCGTCCATGACTTCAAAAGAATGTTTTGCAGTTTCTCCTATATATTTAATTCCACTGTTGGTCTCCAAGTTCTCATCAGCAGATAGCAATATTCTATACCAAGGAAAACAAGCTACAAGATCTCCTGGAAAACCCAACCAAAGTTGTTACAAAAGTGTACACGTACCTCCGTAATGAGGCCAGTCTCCAAACACAAAAGAGTTACTCAACATGTTGGATACAACAGAAGCTGCCATAACACAAGCATATGTCTTCCATGAATGGCTTGTAGATGCAACGCCATGAACAAAACCACAAATACCTTTAACAACAAGCCACTCCATCTTCATGTCATGAGCTGCTGCAAACAGGCCTGAGGTAGAAAAATGAAAAAGAAAAGCAATAACAATTGGAAAGGATTTAAACAATGATATTATTGGGAGATAATTACAATCAATTGGAGCAAAAAAGGCTTCGTTTTTCTGCAGATCACTCTTTTTGTTTGTTCTTTGCTACTGGAAGTCTTTAAGAGATGTGTTCTTTCTGCAGGTATATAAATTAGCACCACTCTTCCCAGAGAGTATAATGAGTAGGGCAGCGTACGTTTTTTGTCAGAAGCAGTATGTTAAAGAGTAAGGATTTGGAATTCAGGAAAGAGTTTCCTCTTACAAAACAAATTGAGTACGTTGCTTCCAACAAGAACCTTGCTTAAAAGTCTCAAAACTTCAAGTCTTGAATATTTCAGAGGTGAGGCTTGAAAATATGACAAGTCGGAGGATACACTGCAATACACATTACCATTGTAGACCTGTGCTGACCACTGACCCCCTACAAAAAATTGTTAAGTATATCCCCTCCCCCTTGCTTAATAGTTTAACAACCAGAAGCGTCCTGTAGTTCAGAGGCAAAAATTAAGAACATCAAAGTGGAGGGTACGCTGTAATAATTATCACTATTGTGGTGACCACTCCCCATATGAAAAAATTGCTAACTTTCTCTCTTCCTTCAGGAACCTGGCCTTACAGCTCAGTGATCAGAAGCTCCCCTCTGACCTTGTAACTCAGAGGTAAAGCTTGAGAACATTAATTTGGGGGTGGAATGTAATGGGAGTACTCGTAATTATAATTTCTTGCTCGCAGTACACCTTTGCATATGACTCGGAATAATCATTTTTATAGTAATACTTCAGTTACTGGGTAACTTAGATGAGATAAAAAAATTGGTTTTATAAAGATATGAACGAGTATCATGTTCTTTCTGTCATTTAAATTATACTGTAACACACTCAACAAAAAAAAATAAATTTAATCCTTGTTATGGAAAAGCCATTTCCTGCAAAATGATCACAGATGCCAAGCAAGAGTAACCCTGAGAGTAATAATAATAATAATAATAATAGTAATAATAATAATAATAATAGTAATAATAATAATAATAATAATAACAATAATTAGTAATTCTCACCTTTTCCTTCCATTTCAATTGCAATTGCCCCAGGGTGTGATTGACACTGCTGTTTACCACCAATCAGATCAGAGCAACTTAAAATCTCTCCATCCTGATGTACTTTGACCTTTCGCCCTTTTGAGTTATCTAATGGTGCCTTCCATCCATCAGCTACATTTCTGACAAGGTTACCAACATCCCTACTCACTGGGGTTTTGTGAAACTCTGGTGTAAGCTTTGAGGATATCACCACATCTCCTAGCTGGGCTTTGTCAGGATTCAGACTGTAGCAGAAACCAACCAAAAAGGTAGCCTTAGGTCTCAGGAGTGTGACAGCATTCTTAGCAGCAGTTTGAGAACCTCCAGGATCCAAGGATTCTTTAGAACACTTCACTAAAGCAACTTTCAGTGACTCATCTTCATCGTCACCCATCTTTCCAAAGTACACAAATCCAATGGATTTCTCATAGCTTTTAAAGGAATCTCGCAAGTAATGATAACAAGCCAAGAACTCGCAATCCTCCACAGTCAAAAGCAGAATGTCAACAGGGGGATACTCCTTGTCCCAACGTTCCAACTTCTTTGGCAAATCTCCAAGCTCCTTCAGTGTAATACTCAGAGGTGGAGGGTCATCACTGCAAACCACTGACCTGCTGCACTTGTCATTACCAGGTCCTGCCATCATGACAAACTGGATCTTTGTTCAAAGTTTTCCTTGAAATGAACAAACAAAATCAAAACAAAATCAAAACAAAATTAAAAAAGAGATCAACACAAATTATTTCTAAACACATTTGCTTACAAGCATGTCACATATCTGAAAGATGATCAAAGTGTGGCAATAGGAAATGCTGATATACATTAAGACTACCAAGCCTAAAGCACACGCAGTATCTGGCACTGAACGTAAGAACTGGCCTTTGTTGCTTGGTATTATATTTCAACAAAAGCCTTGCTGCTGGTTGACAACCTAATAACCAAAGGAAGCACTATGCTGTATATATTGAGGGTTTGCAAATTTTACAGCTATTCCCAAGATCAACTCAACTAGTTATTGACTCCCTCATCTTGCCCTTCTTTGGGTATAGCATGTAGATCTGGGGATCTGCTTGTCCGAAGTATTTGTGTGGAATTGACAACTTCTGCAAACTAACTGACTGATATGGAAATATACCACCTAGGCTGACTACAAGATATGGATATCAATCAAAGAGAAAGATCAACTTCTGTTTAAGAAAATCACCACCATGAAAAACCATCCACCTCAAGATTTGTTGTTGCTAAAATGGACAAGAATACCAAGGAAAAGGGGGCATGAATTCCAACTCCCCCAGATAAGAACTCAAATATACAAAAACTCTTTTATGAACAGATTTCTTCTTAAAACTTGTGTGATCATATTTCATTATATTTGATTATTCCTTTTTATCTCTTTCTATATCTTATTTTGGATATTGAATTGAACCTTTTATTCATGATTTGGACGGTAAAGACTGACTTCTGTTGAGTCTGATTTTTTCAAAAAATACTTCATCATCATCATCATCATCATCAAGTATGGTCCATATTTCTATCTCTACCAATAAAAAGTGTTCATTAATATTCAACTATAAGTCACAATGTGAGATTTCAAAGAGCAAGTATTCTAACCATTAATGAAACATCATTTTTCCTTGAGATGTGTACAGTTTTTTAAATGCGGATGTCACCAGCATGCAAAACCACAATTTGAGGTTTATAAGCAGTTACTGGTCTGGTATTGATGAAACCAGAGAAAATCAGTTCCTAAATGAAAAATTGCTTTTGGAGAAACTCCTAATTTTAAAATTAAATCACCATAAGATGGAAAAAAAGAAGAGTTTGTTGACATTGTATGTCACAGCTAAGAAACCAGGTTACAAAATACAATTCAAAGTTATATGGCTGCCCGATTCAAATTTTCACAATATTTGAAGACAATTTCCAACTGTTTAGTTATATTCTTTGTATCCTCAAAAAAAAATAGATCAGTGGTCTCTAGAGACATTTGAGTCAGCAGCCACAAAAAAAACACTATTTGGCAAAGGCTAAAATTTCATTCAGATTTAAACAAGTGTTTTACTACTTTATCTAATCTAGGTACAGAGTGTGGTGGATGCTTCACATGTGTGTAACCAGCAAAAATGCCAGCCACCAGTGCTTCTAGAGAACAACAATTAATTTGGATGAACATGTTGTCCCATCACTTGTACTTAGGCCCTCTGAGAGAAACTACATCCACGTTACTCAGAGCTCATTGTTGTGTTTTGGTTTCAACCAAGACCCTTGTGGTCGACTGAGGAGAAAAGGCTGTGTTCATCAAGTTATCAGTACCGCCTGTGTTGTCTGTGCCAGCAGAGTATGAAACTTACTGCCCTCCATGACCTCCTTTGTTTTTTTTGATTTTTGTTTTTACTTCAACTAGTTAGAAATTGTTGTAAACATATTATTGATGAATTCCCAGCTCTTGTTAATTAAGTGAAAAAATGGAAGTTTTAATTCTTTGTGTTTGTCTTGTAATCTTTTTTTTTTGGAAGAAAAAGGTAAAAAATTAGGGTGCATATTATACACGGGCAAGCATTATACACGGGTAAATACGGTAATTTGAAAGACTGTTCAAATTTACCTGCTTTGACTTTCTCTTTAAATGCTCAATATAAACCTGCTCTGTGATATGGAGGACAATTTTGCTATTATGAAAAAGACAGAAAAAAAAAGTCAGTTTTCAAATCTTAATTATTCAAGATGTCATTTTCAATTAAGGTTGGCTCTGATATCATTTCTGTGATTTCACTGTCAAATGTTTGGGTTTTAGTACAGACTGTTATATGTAAAATGTGAAATGGCATGCAGCTAAACATATTTGGCTACAGAGCTGAAAGAGCTATAACAGTGTAAACATGATCATTGGTTGACTGCACTTTCTAGGTTAAACAGTTCATTTAAATTCCACTGTTATAAGCTCCTGTGAGCTATGGTGAAAAAAAAAACAGATATATGGAAATGAACTGTAAACAAAGGGAACATTGGTGAATTAATGCAGGGAGTCCTAAACAGCAAATATCTCTGTTGAAATTAAATTCAAGTTTAATTAATATAGAAGTTTAATACATAGAAGCTTGCAGTCTACAATCTTCATGTTTTCAAGGCTTTTGTAGGAACTTAAATCTTTGAAATTGATGTCTCAAATTTGTTCCTATATATTTGCAATATATACTTCTTTATCTGTCATATTTAAGGTACATTTCACAATGATGCAGAACAAAAGATGTTCAAGTTCAATTTCCAAGCAAACTAAACAGTTTTGTTGATCAAATTTTTGTACTCTAATAAACCATTTTGATTTGACACATTTTGCTTTAATTACTGTTGGATAACAAGACTTTCTCCTTGAATGACCAAAGTATACCTTGACTTAAACTGTTCTTTGAATTGTTTGGTGATATTCTCTGGAGGTTAACTGTGCTCAACTCAAACCCAGTATACCATGGGAACCTTAAGCAGCCAACTCACAGTTTTCTCAAGATACAGATTTGTCTTATGGTCAGCAAAATATATTCAATCTAGGAAGCAAGCAGTCTGTGGGTGTTAATTGGGATTGAGAAATTCACAAACATTTCTAATTGGCTTTGTTTTCAATTTACAAGTCACCTGAGATGGTATAAGGACTGGGCTGAAAGTGAAGGTTTCATGGCTAGAAACTGAGAGACGATTCTGAGCTTTATGTGCTCATGCCCTTTTATCAAACAACAAAGCAAAGAACATAAATAAAGAGTAGGGCATAATAGAATAAAAAAATAATTAATCAAATTCAAAGAACCATATTCCACTTGAAAATGTGCCTTTTTTTCTCATGAAATTACATTGTTTTCACATCACTTCCCCTTTTTTTGCTCATTAAGGATTTTGAAAAGCAATAACATTCTTTGAGGTCCATCAACCACAAACCAGTATGTTCAGATTACTTGAGTACAGATTTCTTAACCGAGTTTGGTTGGTTTTAAATTACCTTTCTGTGTATTTAAACCCAGCTCACTGGTCTCTTATTTAAGTTTCATGCATTGTTTCTTTTTCATGAAATGTGTCAGTCATTGCAGTCTGTGTGGGAGCTACATAGATGTTGTTGTACGTAGCACAAACAAGTACATATGCCTATGAATATGGCATCTGGTAACAACAGCCACAACAACAAGTTACACCAAGTACTACAATTCGATTGTCACACAATCTGCTATCGGTAGACTGCTGCTTGGAAGCGAGAGTCATAAATAGATTAGTGAGAGAATATGGCTAAGTGCTTGAAAGGACTTGATGTTCATTTGAAAGTGCTCTCTACAAAAGCCACACATAGCAGGATTCCTCATGCCATCACGTAAACGTATTTAGCGATGGAGTTACAACAGCGTACACATCATGCATTAAGTGTTTTGCAATTTCTGAATTAAAATGCCTCATTTAAATGCCATTGTTGCAGACTCCTGTAAGTTGGAATGAAAAAGGAGAGAGATGCAGCAAGGTAACTAGAAACAGGACTAGACAAACATTAGTGAACCGGCCTACGGCACGTTGGAAAGCTATCATATCCCTACAGCAAATTGTTCGTGATTAAACACAAGTTCGTGGTCTAAAATCCGCATGTTTTCAAGGTTTTTGAAAAATAATTGAAATCAGAGTCTGTTATTTGTTGACCAAATCTGTTAAAAATATATGTTTCAATATCCATCATAATTTTGAGTCGCATTCCACTGTGATGTAAAGCGAAAGATGTACGTTTAATTCCTAAGCAAACTACGTATGCTTGTATGTATGAATGTTGAAATACATTTAAATTGATTTTTTTGATTAAATTTTTAGTGCTGTTATGAAATGTTTTGATTTAACACAAATTAAGAGTCCTTGCTGCAGTTACTGTTATACCAAAAGAGAAATTTCTTCTCGAATGACCACAACCTAACTTGAATTGAATCGTTCTTTGATGAAGCGGAAGTTTGGTAATATTATTCTCAGGATTTCAACAACGCTCAACTTACATTTGTACAAAGTAGAATCACAAAATCTCAGCATGTCTACCTACCTTTACATAGAGATGCTGATTCGTCTTGTGTGTGGCTCGCAGGATGTCTCCCAAGCTGAAAATAAGGCACGTTTGGTTCTCACTGCGATCTAAACGTTCACAAACATTTTAATAGCCAGTCATCGTTCTCAGCTTACATGTCACTTGTAATCAGAAATGATTCGATTTGGCGGCGGGGCGCTGATTTACTATTGGTTCCTCAAGAGAGGTACTTATACGAAACAAGGCGCTTATTTAAGGACTGTGTCACGATTCTGTGAACTCAAAAGGGTTGTTTATTGTGCGAACTCGACTGCCGCCACGTGTGTATTCCTTGTCTCGCAAGTCTTCTAAATATATAGATGTTTATCGGCCCAGTGGCGTGACCGTGTAACGCAATATCACGACATCTTCCCCTTTTTACAAAGTTTATCTTCAAAAGTTAATTAATACTTAATGTTCGGTTTCGATCACTGTTCAAATCACATAAAATCGATAAAACATTGTTCTTCATTGAAATCATAAAAAGATAGAAACAGAACCCAACAACTATTTAGCGGCTCAATCATTCAATGTTCAGTTCATATGGTAATCCTGATGCCACAAAGGCGGTCGACGTCTGCGTTCTGATCGACGAGTTTCAATCCTTTGTGGCTCAAGCTCAGTTCCCATCTCATTTTCAGGTGGCATTCTCTCTGTTTTGGTCTCGCCATGGAACTCCGGTGGAGGAGGTCCTGGCTCTGTCAGATTTGGCGCCGGTTTGAGGGTAGACTCGGGCGGAGTTAGTTCTACCAGACTCATAGGTGGTGCTGTTTCCGGGGTCAGGCGCAGTTGCCGACGGTTGCGTCGGTATCGCCTGCCGCAAACTTCAACTTCATAAGACCTGTTCCCCAAGGCTTTCATGCAGGTCCCCAGACTCCATTCCTCCCTTCCGGGAAGCCGCATCCTGATGGCCTGTCCACACTTTAGTGCCTCTAAAGGGCGAAACTTTTTGTTGTATTGTTGAGCTTGTCTTTTCTTGCGCTCAGCTAATTTGGTGGCTGTTTCCTGGTGTGATGGCTGCCGCAGGAGCGTTTCATGGGTTGGTAAGAAAGTGCGTGTGCGGCGTCCCATCAGTCTCTGTACGGGTGATGTTCCTAGACCCTCTGTTGGGGTGTTGCGCCAATCAAGAAGGGCTAACAGCGGGTCTTGCCCATCCGCTTTCGCTTTCGTCATCAAGTTCTTGCAGGTCTTCACGGCATTCTCGGCGCGGCCATTTGACTGGGGGTAACGGGGCTCGAAGTTCTATGTTCAAACTGCCATTCTCTCACGAATGCACTGAACACCGATGACGTAAACTGAGGTCCGTTGTCGGTAATAAGCACGTCTGGTATCCCATGGCGGGCGAATTGTACTTTTACACGCAGCTATCACGCTAGCAGATGTGGCCACCTTAACCTCCTGGACTTCAAAGAACCCACTCCAGTAGTCGACTAGGATAAAGAAATGTTGTTGCCCAAGGTCAAAAAATCGGCACCTAGCATCGACCAGGGACGCGACGGGATCGGATACGGTTGCAATTCCTCGCGGCACTGATCTGGCTGGTACGACTGGCAGATTGAGCATTTGGAAACAAAGTCCTTTACTTCCGAATTCATGAGGGGCCAATAGAGGACCTCCCTAGCGCGACGTAAACACCCTTCGATTCCAATATGTGATCGGTGAATTTGCTTCAACATTTCTTTTCTCAGGGAAGGGGTACCAGCAATCGCTCCCCAGGAATACTAGTGCCTTGTCTTCTATAAGCTCACTTCGTTTGTCATAGTAAGGCGTCAGCTCAGGGGTACAGGACTTCCTTGACACTGGCCATTCACCCTTGATTGCTCCGATTAGCTTTTTGCATCACTGGGTCCCTGGCAATCTCGTTTCTGAATTCAGCGAGCCTGTATGGTGCAATCGAGAGGTTTTCTGAATGATCTATCTCGGCAAGTGTACAGATCAGACTTGTATCGTGCTTGGAGGCTTCGGTGGTGTTGCGGTATGCTCGACTCAGTGCATCTGATACCCACATAAGTTCCCCTTTTTATACTGCACATCCAGGGAGTAATTCTGAAGGGCCATCAGCATTCTCTGGAGTCTCTTTGGTGAGTTGTGTATTGGCTTGGTAAAAACTGCCCTTAGTGGTTCGTGGTCAGACTCGATGTGTACAACTTCGCGTCCCAGTATGTATTGATTGAACTTGTCGGTTGACCACACTATGGCGAGGAGCTCTTTCTCGATTTGAGCGTAACGCGTTTCGGTGTCGGTCAGAGCTCGCGAGGCAAAGGCAACGGGCTGACCCTTTTGCATCAGTACTGCACCTAGACCCGTTATGCTGGCATCGCATTGGATTGTCACTTCTTCAGTAACATCATAGTATTTCAGTACCGGGGCCTTGGCCAAGTATTCTTTGACTGTGGTAAATGCTTTCTCATGCTGTGCAAGCCAACACCACTCGACGTCCTTGTCCTCAAGCCTTCGCAAAGGTTCTGTTATGTCGGACAGGAGTGGCAAGAATTTGGCCAGATATTGACCATCCCCAAAAACCTCTTCAGGCCTTTCACATCAGTCGGCGGTGGCATATCCAAAATAGCTTCAACTTTGGCTGGGTCTGCCTTTAGACCATCAGGAGTCAAGAGGTGGCCCATGAAACGCACTTCGGTTTGAGATCTTTTCAGCTTGAGTTTGTTGAGCTTGAGGTTCCACTCCCGGCATTTCTTGAAGAACGCACGTTCGTTCTTTTCAAGGCTCGAGTTGACCTCTGCGTCAGTTTCGCCAAATCCAGCGATGAGGAAGTCGTCAGCGATAACTTCAACTCCTTCTAAATTTTCTACGAATTCATGCATGCGTCGCTGCCAAACTTCAGGCGCACTTGAGATACCAAAAGACATGCGGGCCCATCTATAACGCCCAAAAGGCGTATTGAACGTTGTCAGGAAACTAGAAGCATCGTCTAAGAGGATTTGGTGGAAACCATCCTTGGCGTCACAAAGAGTAAATTTCTTGGCACCTGTTAAGCGAGAGGCCACTTCATCGATAGTCGGCAACTGGTAATGCTCTCGCCGAATGGCACGATTTAAATCTCTCGGGTCAATACAGATGCGTACTTTGTTTGGCTTCACTATGGCCAACATGCTGGATACCCACTGCGTCGGTTCTGTTACTGGGATAATAACTTTACGATCAACAAGTTCGTCCAGCTTGTTTTTGATGCATGGACGCAAGGCTACTGGCACTCGCCTCGGTGCGTGGACAACTGGTTGCGCCTGTTCGTCTATGGCTATTTTGTATGTTCCCGGTAGGGCCCCTAATCCGTCGAATACGTCCTCATACTCTTCGAGCAAGGAGGCTTTGGGACACTTGACGTGTAATGCTAGGACGTCACAATTATGTAAACTCACAAAGCCAAGATTGAGGCTGGTGTTCAATGATAAAATCGGTTGATAGTCTCCGTCTAAGATGTTAAACTCCATTGACCTCCGCTGTCCACGGGACCACACAGGCAGGGTAGCTTTACCAGCAATTTTGCGGCGATCCCCTGTGTACGAGACTATTTCCTTTTGGCATGGTTTGAGGCGATGAAGGAGGGTGTCCCCAGTGATTTGCTTGTATAATTGGGCCGGGAGAATGTCGCACTGCGACCCAGTATCTATTTGAAACTGGACTTCTGTCTTGGGATCTGGCCCATAAATGTGGAGTTTGACCACTGCCAATTTTTCCTGGCCTTTGCTCTTACTAGTAGTAGCACCAATGTAGTAGGGGTCGTTTCCCATGTCGACGGCTTCGTGGACCGCCGAAACTCTACTTTTCACTCCTCGGGGATTAGCGCGACATTTATTCGCAAAATGATTCATACTCCCACAGTTAAAACATGTTCTTCCATACGCGGACAATGACGTCCATGCACCATTCCACAATTTCCACATTCTTTAGACGGTCTTCTAAATGCTTGTGACTTAAGTTGTCGTTCTTCTTCAGGTTTTTCTGCCGATCCCGCCTTCCGTAACGCATGAACTGCAGTGTCTCCTCCAGCCATTAGCTTTACTTGCTGTTGGGTCTGTTCTGACGACTTAATAATGTCAACTGCTTGTAGGAGAGATAAATCATTCAAACGGAGAAGTCTCTCGCGGACGCGATCATCCCGTATGCCTAGCACGAGGCGGTCACGCAAAATTTCATCTGGTGTGATTGTATCGTGTGCACAGTTTTTTGCGATCGTTCGAAGCTCCGTAAGATACGTCGAGATGTTTTCGCCTGGTTCCTGGTTTCGGTTGTTGAACCTATAGCGTTCATATATGACCTGTGTCTTAGGAATGCAGAATTCGTCGAACTTCTTCAGGACTTGTGAAATGTCGTCTGCGTTTTCGTCTTCGTTCCAAATAAAGGTATCGTGGGCTCTGACGCCATCCTCGCCTATAATGCTTAGTAATGTCGACACACGAACTATGCCCTCTTGTTTATATACACCAGTAGTGATTTCGTAGCGCTGCCACGCTGCTTTCCACGATTTCCATGCGGTGGCTAAATTGTCGTCAAAATTAAGCGCTTTCGGCGGGGGCAAATTTGACGGGGGAATAAAAACTTGAGTCGGCGCTGGTGGCACAACTATGGATGCTTCAGCTGCTTCTGTCATCTTTAGGGGTGAACAGATCCCACTTCTGACACCATGTCACGATTCTGTGAACTCAAAAGGGTTGTTTATTTTGCGAACTCGACTGCCGCCACGTGTGTATTCGTTGTCTCGCAAGTCTTCTAAATATATAGATGTTTATCGGCCCAGTGGCGTGACCGTGTAACGCAATATCACGACAGACTGAGAACTTAATTCTTTTTGAGAGACCGCATATGAAACAGAGCTTTGATGCTCATATGACTGAAGTTCAAAAAGACTGGAAAAGGGACTTGTCCCTAGATCTTTTCTTCCTAAACGACTAGCCTAGGGATCGTTGCAAATTTTAAGAGGGGTTCTTTGGTTTGAAGGAACTGTGCACTCGCGGCGAGATAATAGTTGAGAGATTGTGACAAAGACTACTCCTTCGTCGTGGGGCTTCAAGTGCGCAATTAAGGAAAGATGGACCGCAGTTGATCTCAATGTAAATGTACTATAACAGTGCTATTACTGAAACAGAATAGGGGCGCTCATTGGAATATGAGCGCTTATGGGTATAGGGACGCTTATTGGAATGAGGGTGCTTACTCAGTAGGGGCGCTTATTGACAAGAACAAATTCGAGGGGGCACTTATTTTGAAAGGAGGGCGCTAACTCGAATCGTTGCGGTAATTGTAGAAATAGGAACGATTGCGTGACTATTTCAACTAACGTCTGGGAGAAAAAGCACGCGTCACGCGATCATGCACAAGTCTTTTTCCTTACGCCTTTGTACTAACAAACAAGATAGCGAATAAAAACCAAGCGCTTCAAATCTCATCAAAGCCTGAATTTTTAAGGAATCTTGTCCACAATATCTTTAATAGCAGCTCACTGACAAGGATCATTTCTTCGCCTACATTTCATCCGCTGGTCAACAAACCATCTATTTCATTTGATTGTGATCAGATTCTTTTACATTAACGAAAAGCTTAATAAAATTTGTAGGGGAGAGAATTAAAGTTTGCCGAATCTCAATAATTAGATTAGTCCTTGATTCTGATAGAGGCGTAACTACCTGCCGTTGGATTTCCAACGAGAATCGTCATGGACTTTTATTTCAATACAAAAGCCCACAATATTTCAGTTTAGATAACAGAGTAGAGTGGTCGGCAACAGTGAATATCTTTGTAAGATTGAGGAAAATTCCAGTGCTGGCTTTTTGCCAGCATTGGAATTGACGTGCCTAGTTGGCAACATCTTCTATTATGTGGGTTGTGAGGAGAGACCAGACCCTTAACTGTATAATAACAATATTACACTGTTTAGGTTAGTAATTTCACTCGGAAAGTATGTGTTGGCTTTATGAGCGTGGTCGGGAGAAGTTAGTGGCTTATTTTCTTTATATTCTTTATTTTTTCACAATTGAACCCAAATTTCTTAATGTATCTAATCCCAAGCAAACCATTATGACATGTGGCGGCCTTCCATTTCCTATTTTACCTTGTAATCTACTTCGACTCAATTAGAATAATGGCTTTTTAGGCACTGTAGTGAGCAGTTGATAACTAAACAAAACAGCCATGAGCACACACAAGTAACTCACGTTTCTAGATAAACCTTGATTAAAATTGTTCTGTGATCTTCTGTGATACAGCAGAACTAGTATGATATCTTCAGGAATTCAACGACGAAAAACCTTAAAATATTGCTGGAATACACCGTGAGACATCTAATTTTTGATCGAGATGCCGATTGGTCTTGTGAATGGTCAGCAAGATATCTCACAAGCTGGAAACCAACCACCTTCGGTTATGACTACGAACTACGAACTACGAACTACGAACAATACCTTCACGGACATTCCCTGATAAATCCACCCATCAAAGTGGCCTCTTTTCCACTTTACATGTCATGAGGTGTCTAAAGAATGTGACAGGGATTGACAGGGACGATTGCATGATCAGCGAGTAAGCAAGGTCTTGAGCGTCACGCGATCACGCAAGTGCCTTTTTCACGCCTCTTTACATATAAAAAGTAAAATAGAGATAATTGGCGTAATTAAATAAAATAAGTTGTGCAGGTCATTGCCGAGCAATTCGAAGCTTCAACATTCCCCCACCCCGGTCTTTCCAGCGGAACACACTTTTCTATATTTTAATATGGAGGTGAGATATTTAATAGTAAAAGAGTTTTAAGGCCTGGATAGGCAAATCAATTGCTGGTCAATGAGTAGAAAGTCACGGCCGCTGATGTTGCCTTTTACAAAAAAAATTGACCAGCAAATCCAGCACTTGGGTATGGCATGAGAACACAATTCTGGCCCGGGGGGCAACTCTCTTATTTAAGGAAAAAATGATATCATAGCACCTTCGCTTGTTTTTTGCCCTGATATTTCGAAAGAGTTAAATGTAATTAAAAATTCTAAGTAGAATTCTGTTCCAATTCACCTTCCTACATGTGCTTAAATTAAAAATTGAATTTGTGCTGCTATGCAAACTATTCAGTAAAAAATCAAACTATTTACAATACAATACGAATAAACTTTGCTATGTTACCATCGCATTAGTTATGTATTGTAAAGCATAATATCATGAATTGTTATTTCCAAATTATATGAAATCCTTCATTTCAAGTATAAATACAATAGAGGTTCAATTTGAGAGAATTGTGCTTTTTATGACTATGTGTAAAGATAAGTACTCGAGTGAGGGGAGCTAAGAAAGATAAGCCACCGATCGACAGTGAAACACAAATACCAAGCCTTGAAATGATCTGTGTAATTTTTACTGCTACTCAAGCTAATAGGAGCTCATTTGTGGTTGATCTTATGTCAAAAAGAAAACACTTACAAGCGTTAGTACATGTCAGAAACTATTGTATTGCCAAATTTTCCAAGAGGATGCCCTAAAGAAAGAAATGCAAAGTCTGAGGCGGAAAACAGACCTTAGAGAGGCTTGTATGACTAGAATTCCACTTGAACCTACTGAGTGTTTTGTCACAGTAAAGGTTCGGCATGTTACCATGGGAAAACAAGAAAGAAGATTTCCATCATCTTCCGCGATGTCATCAGTATTTGATTGGATAGGATCGCTTTGTGAAGAACCGGAAAACTTCACCCTTCGTGATGCTCTTGCATTGCCCTTACATCCAAGCAATCCAATTGTGGACCGAACCATGATCTACATGGTTTTTTCAGACAAAAGACCCTCTTTGGCTGATAGTGAAATTCAGTTCAGAGGTTTTGGATGGTCTGATAACGGATGACACCCTGGAGGATATGTTTCCCGTGCTGGAACAAAACGAAGAATCCTCAAAACCTGCACTGGCAAATAGTTACACAAATACTATGAGAAATGATAATTTGTATGTGCAAGCTGTTTAGCTGTCAATATATCCCCACAAGCTACCATGACAGCTGCCGTGTACTTAGGTTAAAAGTCATGTTAGACCAAGCGTTATTCGTATCTTAGGATTTACTTTCAATGCCAGCCTCTCTTCAAGCTCTGGTCAATAACACCAACAAATACTTTCTTCATTGCAGGTCTATTTCTGAGCATGTGCCCAGCCAACTGATGGTAGATGATGAGTAAGTATGAGAAACTTACTTGCAATTGATACAAGAATTTATTAATTGAAAATAATTCCATTCATCAGAAATAATGTTAAATTTGTATTCAAAAGTACACTTTTTGTTAATAATTAACTCATTTGGGCATATTTTGAGAATCCGCAAAGTGAGAAAACCATTCCCTGATAACATCTAAATTATTGGTTTAAAGGTCAAATATGAAAAGTGTTAAGTTCATAAAACTACGTTGTACAATATTTTTGATGAGACAGAAGCATTTCATTTCTTTCATTAGGGCCCCAGATGAAACAGTAGTACAAAGTAAATTTGAAACTAAAGTAGTGGAAAGCAGAACAAGTTCAGAGGTTGGTTACTGAACTGGTGTAGCAAGGCATGAAAACTGAAGAATTTGGAATCAACCATTCATAGAAACACATCTTAAAGCCTTTATTTAAGAGGTGCCCTGGTCTAAGGCTAAGCACAACTAGGGAGAGAGGGAAATCAGTGTACTGGGAATAGTCTACTTATTATAGTAGGGTTTGGGAGGATGATGTCTTGAGACTTTACCCTCTGCCCCTGACCGTCATATTTGCATGTACTGACTAGCTGCCTGGCTTCTATAATTCTCTATTCTAGGACGCATACTGCCTTATACGAAGTTGAAATGTTTTGATGAATGTATCAATTAAGAAGAGTTGAACTTAGTAGCTAAATTTATAACGGAACAGTTACCATACATCGTCGAATTCGCCTCTGATCAGCCAAAGTTTCAAATAAGTACTCCATGCAAAGTGGTACAAAATATATGACAAGTTAACAAAATAAAACAGCTCGCCTCAAATATCGATCAAATATACACACAGATGAGCATTTTATTATTAATGAAAATAAGTTGTTGCGTTGTTACTAGTGTTTTAACATTTATTATTTTTTCTACGGTTTACAACAGAAATACATTCACAAGGTGATGAACTAGCTTTAGAGGAGATAAATAATCCTACTGACCAAGGTATAATACATTGACGGCTACTTCTTTCGCAAGTGTTAAGTTTCAGGGAAGGCATTTTTTGGACAAAACATTTTTGACTGCTAAGACAATCATCAATACAAGTCTCGTAATTTCACTGAGCTGTTAATGTGGGTGTATGGGCGTGTGTGTTTGTGCGTGTGGATGAAATAACTGGACTGTAAATATTACAGTGTTTTCTGTTGCATTAAATTCTCTTCCTTCATCACTTTATTGGCAGGCGAACGACCACAGCGTGTCACTGTTTATCGAAGCAGCGTCAAAAAAGAACTAATTAAAATATTTAGCAACCGAGAATTTTTAGCAACCGAGCAATTTAGCAACCGAGAATTTTTAGCTACAGTTTTGATGTGTTTGTTATAGATGCAAGGAGCGAACCTGAGGCCGGACGGGGTAAAGAAGTTCTACTCGATGTCATGACGTGTTTCCGGCAAGAATGTTTTACAGCTCTGACGAATGGAAGTAATGAAAAAATACCATACATAAGGCATGACCTCCTCCTGAGTGAGGCGTGAGTGGTCCAGTGGTCTGAGCGCTGGACTCTGGGTCGGACGGCCCGGGTTCGAGTCCTGGCCGGGGCACTACGTTGTGGCCTTAAGCAAGCCGCTTCACTCACCTTGCTTCGTCTTCTCGGATAAGACGTTAAGCCGGAGGTCCCGTCTCCTGCAGGGTTTGGGGTAGGAGACGTTAATTTCCCACGCACGAGATTACTGTGTGATGGATGTCCTCCCCTGGGTTGGGTTGGGTGGATTTAAGAGGGGTAGTGCCTCGTATGGGACTCCATGTCCCGCTGCACTAACCCAATTGGCGTCCGTCTATTCGTAGACGTACCCAATAAAGTTGTTATAAAAAAAAAAAAAAAAAAAAAAAAAAAAGCCTGAATGGAAGGCCATCGCACGAGTCCTTGTTTATGGGTACTAAAAGATGAAGTATTTTTCTCTTCAACATTCAAATCTATCTGCTGTATTGTGCTTGTTTGGGGAGAAGAGTATAACTCTAGAGTTTCTTCTGAAGTCGTTTCGGGAATGTATCACGGCAGAGGATAGGGAGGTGTTGAATATGTGTCTAAGAGATAACTTTAACTCCCAAGATCATGATGGTAATGATGATGATGATAATGTGCCGGAGTTTCTCTTCACATGCAAATGTTTTCGAAAGTCCGACAAAGACAACATCAGATCCATCATCAGCGAGCTTGCTCATCAAGAGCTCATCCAGAAACCGAGATATGTGTTACATTGCTGGGCTCCTATACAGGATGTGCAACGATGTGAACACAGCTTCTAAACACTCGAGGGGCTTGATCAACTCTACGAAAGTAAACGACCAACAGCGAAGAAGATAATGAAACTGTTCCGAGGAAAGCCATCAACCGGTGGTGAACGTCAGATTTGAACGTCAGATTTGAAGAAATTTGTCAATTCCTTGGAGGGGAAGGTGCTTTCTATATGTTTCTACGCTTTTGCACATGGAGTGATGTGATCACCTGTGACTCCACAATAATTTGTTTCTCTTCATTTGAAGGGCTCCAGAGACACCCTGTGGCTCGTACATGTACTCCTATCCTGGAGCTTCCTACGTTATACGAATCTTTCCCAACTCTTGCCGAAGAGTTTCCAAATATCATGACGGAAAGCCAAGCGTCGTCATTTGACAAGATTTAATAACGTTTCCCCTATCTTTGTACCAAGGGTTCAATATTTTTTTTATAGCTGATATGGTAGTAAAACGTTGCATCATGAACCACGCGAATAACTAGTAAAGACTTACTGCGGATAATTCATTGTTTTGTAAGAAAAAAATGTTCAAGGAAAGGGAAGATTGGAAACTTTGTTTGATGTTTTTGTTACAGTTCAAATAAGCTAATAGTATATGCCATCAGTTTCTTGACTGTTACATGTTAACAAATGTTGCACATGGATTGTATGAAATTATTAGAACCTAACAAAAGGAAGTGTTCATCTTGGTCATAGAAGGCATTACAAAGTGTCCTTAATGATGGAATTCCACCAAACACACATATTACACCAAATAGGAAGTGTATGAAAATGTCTAAAATATTCAGTCAACAAGAAGTACTCTGAAACAAGTGGGTTCAATTCTGGACATAAGTGAGAAGAGGGTGGGGGGGGGGAAGGGGTTAGCACCCCAGAAGGGTTATGCATGTCCCAGGTCTCTTACATTTTGCCTATTTCTTCGAGTAAGGTTGCATATAAAGTTGTCGCCTCTTCAGGTGTGCGGGAAAATTATAAACTTTTTTCCCCTCATGATTTCTGATAACTGGGTAAGTTCATCTGAGCAACCACTTTGCGGAGGTCGATAGCAGCATCTCTCCTATGCAAGATCCAATTCGTCCAAGTCGACGTCCACCATATACTTCCTTGTACCAGATCCTCCGGGAGAAAGAATAGTACATCAGGCCTCCCAGATGGGGATTTTGAGTTTGTTGAAGGTAGAATTCGATGGAGATTCCACAGTCTTGCTGCCCCATGAAGTTCATCTCGCAATATAGGCATGAAACAAAACTTGAGACACTCTTCAATACAGTCATTGTCATGATAAAGGCCGCAACTCCTCATGTCTTCCACCATCTAGTACAGTCTTTTCCCAGTATACTTCACCAGGCTTCGATTCGATGGTTAAAAATTGATTTCCCATAGATGGAACTGAAATCCCCCGCTCAATCATCTTCACCATCTCGCCTTTGCACCCCTGCAACATATCCATTCTCAGTTCCGCAATCAGCTCTTCTGACCCTCGCAGTTCCTCCAAGTTGCCGGACACAGTCAACAAAGTACTTAGAAATAACGGTAGGATCATTCTTAGTGTATCTAACGTCAAGCCATAAAATTCACCAACTAAATCCATTGATGGCTCCGTGGATACAAAAACCAAACGGCTTCAATTTATCATAGCCATCTATGTGCCACAAATGATTGGGCTCCCTGGTTATACATTGCCTCCTTTTTAGCCTACGCTTTGCTCCTAACTCAACCTCCTCAGGATCACGAACGTTTTCTTTACCAACAACAAGCCGGTGGTCGTTGACTAATCTTGAGTCATTTACCTGTATCCGATGCTACAACCGCTTGCTCTGAGGTGTTCTTCCACAGCTTGAACAACCTGGCGTTTCTTGTTTGTCCGAGTCCTTTGGCTTTTAAAATCCTTTTTAACTGTCTGAGGCTTAAGCTGATGCCATGACTGAATACAGAAAACAACAAGATCTCTGTATACTCCAGCCCAAGATGATAATAGCTTTGAATTAAGTCATGACGTTAAGCGGGTATTCTTGCAATGTAGGAAAGTAGTTTGCAAGTCGGACACCATCGCATGTGGACGTTTTCAAAGCAAATGTCAGAATCAGAAGCACGGCGGAAGTGCTGATGATTTTGGCGTCCCCCTACAGAGAAAAATTTCTCGTTTTAACAACGATATCAATCCGCAGTATTCACCAAGTCCACAGCAGTAACTAGATTGGGGTCAGCCACCCTCCACAGAAAGTCGGAAAAAAAGCCAGGAGAGAAATCAGGAAAAAACTCGGGGAAAAGAGTCGGGAAAAAATTCGGGAAAGTATTTGGGAAGAAAGTCGAGAAAAAAGTCGTGAAAAAAGTAGAGGAAAAAGCCGGGAAAAATTGTCCAGAAAAAGATCGAGAAAAAAGTCAGGAAAAAAGTCGAGAAAAAGGCGAGAAAAAGTCGGGAAAAAAAGATGGAACGCGTGAAAAATCTAAGGGGATATTCAAGATTAAAAGTGTGATTTAATGGCACTAAGTGGGCTCCGTATTTGTTTACTTATTTCGATGGAGCTCTGTGCATTTCCATCCCTTTTAATACATAGCTTTGGTTGACAAATTGTTTGGTCGATTGTCAAGTTTTATTTTTCAATTAAACTGCAGGTCTATCATTTTCAAATTGGATCTTCCACTTAGTGGTAGGAAAGAACCTCTTTACACTGGGTCTGTTATTCTGTTAATATCTCAGTCCATCGATAGCATGTGGTTAAAATGAAAGGGTTGCCTACCTCCGTAAGGAAATAATAAACAATGTTGTCTCAGTATACAAGCTTCTATTGTTTAAAGTGGCAATAACAGCATCTAGTGAACGATCGTCCTCTACCGCCCGAAGATTAAATACCTAATTTCCGCGCATATTTAAAATTTCGGTTAAAAGGAGAGGCGCTTATTGGGAGGAGGGCGATTAATCGAAGGGGGCCACTTATGAAGAAATTGTACTGATTCCGTTGTAGTTGAAGGCTAAAAAGTTATAAATAAAGTGACAATAAAAACAGGTTTGCTTTGTATCTCTACTATTAAAAAAAGCGAGGAAGGAGGGGTCGGCGCTTATTCGAGAAGAGCGCTTGTTTGACATAACGACCTGAGCGGTGGGCACTAATTGGAGGAGGGCGCTTACAGGAGTGTGGGCACTAGTTGGGTAGGGTGCTTATAGGAGCGTGGGCGCTTATTCGAGGAAATATGGTACTTGGTTTCCTTTATTAACGATATTGCAACATCGATTGAGCAACTAGGAAATAATTATATAAACAGTCATTAAGAAATAACTCATGGACTTTCCGATCGTCACAGTAAGAGCAGAAATTACGGAATCTTTCAAAAATATGGCATGCAGTAAATATCAGCCAGTTCCTCTGTTTTTTTTTTGACAGGCTGTACGGGATGTTTCGTCAATTTGTAATCGGTGTGATACACCGTTCATGTACCGTTGACCAGATCAAAGTATTCTCTTCATTTCAGTATAAATACACGATTGACTTCCCTCACTTAATGGATTTTTTCTCCTTCTCGTTTCATGAAATACATGTCAGACATGATTCATAAAACGGTTTTTCAGTACATCACAATCCAAAAATGAAAAATGGTGGATTTTGGAGATTACAAAAATTTCTTACGACCCCCTCCCCCTCTAGTTTGTAAATTGATGCAGCTGACTAAGGCTTTTCTGACAGGAAACCATTCTGAGGATAGAAGCCGGGAAGTAAGGAAGGAAGGACAGGACATCGGAAATCTGAAGATGTTATTAAGAGATCTATGAGAAATAGAGGCCTCATGGTCAGTTGGGGGGGGGGAGGGGAGGAGGGGTGGGTAACTTTCCACGGACTGTCCTCCCATCAATACAGTAATCCTCTTCTACTTGATCAATTGGAGCATGTAAATTCAATTCAGCAGTTGTATAAACAGAGCGGGCCTGAAGCAGCCAGTCACAACAGTGTGGATGAAACCTAATGATCTAGTTGGTTCGTAGTGATGACCTTTACTGACATCACAGCACTCACAGGGGTTTCGTTTTTTCTAATTTAATATAAATTAGTTTAGTTCACCATGGACAGTTGCAAAACTAAGCACTTGAAAACAGGACTTATCCCTGAAAAATCAGCATTAATGACTCAATATATAAAAATCACGAGATAGAGTTAGTATCTTACAATGTGCATAGTGTACAGCCACAATAGCACTATAACTTAACTGTCACTCGCTTGACAGTTTTGAGAGAACAACCAATACAATACTGAGTTAAATTATTTTACATTTCAGAGTCAAGGAAATACTTGTCAAACACAGTCTCCCTTCTTTGGCCACAATCAACAGATTTTTAAAAGCTTTGACGACGAAATGTCAACCACATTGTACTATTTACATTAATCTCAAATGGAATGTTTGAAAATTAAGGCAATCAGAAGCCTGTCCTGTATTAACAAAACAGCTAAATTTGTTCACAGCATGTCGAATGCCATGAAAATAAAAATACCGATCCTAAATCACGAAAATTATCTTCACATTGTTTTTTTGGCTTTTAGTGAAGACTTCCATCAAACATTAAGGTTTTGTTCTTCGCCACATTAAAATATTTAATATTTTATGGAGATTGGCTGCATTAATGACTTCTCTTTTTTAATCAATAGAAATGAGAGAATTATCTGCACAGTCAGCCCGATGAAGTAATCAATTATCTGAGCAGGAAAAAACCAACCAAAATAAATTAAAAAAGAAAAATTACAAAAATACCTCTGAGTCTCTTACTCAGTAACATGAAAACCAAATTTTGAAACTCAAAGCTGTAAATCATAGCTACAACCAACATAAGGAAACATCGTAAAATAGCCTAAAATCAAAATATATCCAAATCAATGATCAATTTCAATGACAAGACACTCTGACTCCAGAGAAACATCCCATATGTTCTCACCGATATTGTGGAAGGGAGTTCCATTTTGGTGAGGGTACCAATTTACCTAAGCTAAGTGATTCTAAAATATTTATTTCCTTATTTTTTATCCAACTTTTGATTGTTCGTTTATTTGATCACAACAATGAAGTCTCTTACCATTGGTCAGAAACCTACCAGACCAACCAATCACCTTGAAATGTGCCTTGTATAGTCAAACTTCCCAAACTTGTTTTCAAATTTCAATCAGAACAGTCCATACAATTTAGGTATTGACTTCTCTAACTGAACAGATCTGAAAGAATTCTCTCAATGGATGGACTGGTCTGACCAACCAGTTCTGACCAATGGTAAGTTTCCCTAGTTAGAGGCAGTCTACTAAGCCAGTCCAGGTCAGCTAAGTTTCCAGGCAGGACTGAGGTTCCTCCTCGTCATCTGAGTGGGTAACTGATCCAGGATCTGGTCCTTGCTCTGATCCATGGAAGAAGCTCCAACGTTTTCTCCAGTATTCATCTGTTGGCCATTCTTCTTCAGGCTTGACATTCCCTTCAACATCCTGTCATAAATCACAAACCAACAATCAACATCATCTTGTCAAACAACATACACCTGTACTCCAACTTGTTTACCCTGGTTACTTTTTATATGAAGGGAAATTATGCCATGAGTATGTTTAACTGAGTCAATTTAAAACAACTTTTATATTGAGGAACGTTCCTTGTAAGCAAACATCACAAGGCTCACCAAAATTTAGATATATTCCAATTACATCCATGGTGGGGCCCATACTGATTATGTTATTGGAGAAATAAGCTGAAGTGTTCAAAAAATATACATAACATCAAAGTGACCACCTCTCCTAGAGTCTTATAGGTACTTGACCTGACAAGCCCATGCAGAGAATACAACTTAAGGTAACTTTTTAAGGCAAAGGATTAACAAGAAATTCTCTGGATAGAGTAGGATAAAAACATAATTGATCAAAGTAACTACAAACCGTTGACATTAGAGAATCTCTGCCTGCAAAATTTGAACCAGTATCTCTCTTACAGTGGAAGCATTCTTTCTCTACTACTTTTCAAGAGGAATCCCTTAGTCATTTCTTTTCTAATTGACAATGTTCCCAGTAACTTTTGGTTAGGACCAGAGGAAGAAAAGGAAAATCTGTGTAAAAGGAAGTTTAAGGGAAAAAATTCTGCCGTGCCTTTACAGCATTTTTTCAAAACCTAAATGATATAGTAAACCACTGAGTTAATCAATCAAATAAAATTTACAGATTTATGCTAACCTTCCTTCTAAAAAAACTCCCAAATACTATTCCAGAAGCTCTTTCTAAGGGAATACTCGGGTATTAAAATTTTTTTCTCAGAGCGTCCAGAAACACACCACATTTCCTTTGAAGTTTAGCTTTTCCTCCATCAGAGAGAAGCTTCAGCTTAAAGTATGACAATGTTTAACAACTCCTAAGAGCTGTAAATAAAACAAAGTGAAAAAACTAGGGTCTCAAATCGTTTCATATAGACAGATGCTCAGTTCATGGTAAGTACAAGCAATTGTTTACTCCCTCAATTCTGTTGCCCTTACGGAAATCAAGACCATTTTCCGAAGTAAAAAAATAGCTAAACGAATAAACAAAAGTCGAAAATCAGTCCTAGCAGATTTCCTAAATTTTAAGACAAGTTTAGAAAGTAGCTCCTTGATCTCTTCCAAACACTGACATTGACTTTCTGTCATTAATATCTGAAAACACGCGGCCGTCCTCACATTCACGCGCACAGAGTGGTAACGCATTTACCTTCGTTTTACTTTATTTTCTACTTTTTTCTCTGCTCCTAATTATAAAAGGAATAGATTTATCAAGGTTAATGGGATGAAATTAGGAATGAAGTGTATCCTGTTTCTGTGTTTCCACTGTAGACACACAAAATAATATTGTTTAAGACACTCAAAAACAGACCACACACTTCAGAATTCACCCTTCTTCAAACGTAAACAAACATACTTAAATGGGCTCTCATCTTCACTGAAAAAAATGACTTGCTTTGCTTTCAAGTTTAACAGATTAAATGGTAGCGACAACGAGCGACTGTATAACGTTCTCATGCATGTAAGCCTTTTCAGTAATTCGGAATGTAAAACTTTGTAATTGAAATCGTTAAAATCATTAAAAAGCCTCAATATTTGCTTCGCCTTGGATTTCCTCTCTTACGAACCGTTTGCAAGTCGGCTTGTTGCGACAAAATACAAAAGAATGTTATGAAAGCATGATTAAAACGGAACGAAATTGAGCTGCGAATTACCCTTTGGCCAGCAATACGGATAATGGACTGGGCTTTTTCTTTTTTTTTTTTTTGGGACTGGGGATTCTTAAGGAATCTAAAGAAGATGCTCCATTTCAGTTCAACTTTGACTGTTGCCCGCTCAAGTGTTTTTCGGAAATGCGCAAGTGTCTCTTGTGGCTTGGAGATAGCTACATCGCAATTGCTCCGCGAACCAAGGGCGTAAAAATTCTTAAAACAACACCACAGGAAATTGGATAGAATCTATAAGAATTATGACTACAATTATGCAAACTACGATCACAAAACTTACGTGGTATTCTGTTTTCAACCAGTAGATGTTACTCTGACGTACAGTTGCACTCAACTCATTCACTTGCTGCTTTGTCATTTTAACTTTAGAAAGCCACAGCATCTCCAGGTGAGGAACACAGCTGAGATGTTGAGTAAGAACACTTACTCCTTTACCAAGAGGGTTCTCTGACATGTCGAGGTGTCGCAGGCTAGGAGCCTGGTGCAGAGATCTGGCGATGACTTTGGCAGGTTTGGCTGTTAAATTGATATTAGTAAGTACTAATGTGTGAAATTTGTCAGTGAAGATGATACGAGACACCAGGGTCTCTGTCAACTGAGCATCAATGATTTCAGAGGGTTTACCAAAAATACCTAACCATCGGAGAGCAGTGAAAAGTGGTAAGAAATCAGCCAGCATCTCTATCTCTTGCCTTTCTATGTCGACAATATAAATCTGCTTCACACAGGAAAGGCTCTGAGGAGTAGGACCAGTGATTCTATCAGTGTTCTGAGTCAAACTCGAAGCTGTTTCGCTGTCGTGTTCATTCAAAGGATCAACAAGACGCGTCACCTGAGTAGACTTTGCTGTTGGTGAAATGAGCTCTCGCAGCATTTCAGTCGGAAAAGTGCTACCATCCCTTTCTTTGCGTATTTGATAAACATAAACGACGATTTTTCCCTCTCTCTTCAAAAAGAACTCGCCCACAGGACGACGCGGGAACTTCTTCAGTAAATCTGCGGCTTTCTTTTCGCCCGAACAGCTCAAAAATACAGCATTTGTGTCCTCCGCTACAGTGATCAAGTCTCGATAGCTTTTCTCTGAAGAATTCATGAAGGGAAGAAAAAAGATAAAGTCGGGTATCATGTCAGATTTAAGGAAATGTTCATTTGCAGTAATGTTCAGCTGGTTAGAATCAAGATACAAAACACCTCCGGTGTAAGAGAGAAACACTGAACGGAGATCTCGCCTCTTCTCGGCCGAACAACAAAAGTAGCTATGCGAGATAAGCTCAAGATAAAATGTTACATTTCGAGACACTTCTGTATTCTCCAGATGCAGCTTAAAAAAATCACATTTCGACAAAGATTCCTTACTTCCAACGGACCCTACATGACGGAAAACTGCGCACGCGGCTTCTGTTGACAGCTCACAGGCAAATTTAAGAACTTCACTCATCTTCACGATCTTTTCGAATGATTCAACTTTGGAAAGGCTAGGCGTACTTTCTCCTTTAATCGACAACACTTCCTCCTTAATGTGCCAGGCTGCAAGGAACTCCTGTACGGATTTATGAATGAAATAGGCCCCTTTCTCAGGACTGAGACTCATAAGATTGACAATCTGGAAAAGCCCAACTTCTCTTAATTTTTGAAAACTTCTTGAAATATTGCCGGGGAGTTCGCTGCAGCGTACGTAAAGACGGTCTTGCAGAAGTGCTTCAAAGGCAGCCTTTCCAAGATTACTAAGGTCTTCTTTAGCTTCTGTTGAGGTCACTTTCCGAAATGGCATAGGCTGGTGACTTCCGCCTTTGTGATCCAGCATGGTTTGAATGAATTGTGTGAATATGTCGGCCCGTGATTTTGGCAGTCCTACGTGATGTTTCTCTTTCCACAAAGTACACAGCATCAGTAGGAGGAGAGGTATTTTTGCCATGTCATCGAGACCGTTTTTATACAGGTAGTGTATAAACTCGTAAGGATCTTGTTCACCTACCAAACATTTTCTCACAAAGGATTCTTTTTGTTCCCAGCTATTGAAACCTTGAATTTCTAACTGAACGTGGCTGGGGCCTCTTAACTCGTCACATTTAAGTTGTCGCGTGGTGACAATAACGTGACAATCTCTTAGTTGTTCACACTTCCAGATTGCAAGGATGGGTGAGCGTTCTTTAGCACAGCAGTACTCATCGTAGCCATCCAAAATAAGAAGCACTTTATCTTGATTGTTAATTACGTAATCATAGAGACTATGAACTGAGATCGGACCATCAGTGGCCAGCAATTTAGACGCGCGTAAAACATCACGGATGTCTTCTAAATCACACACATCGCGCAACTTGATCAGCAGCAAAATGTAAAAGTTCATAAGAGCTTCTTTTAAGACTTTCGACCAATCATATGCAGCCTTCTTACAAAACGTACTCTTGCCAATTCCTGGCCGACCATAAACAAGCATTCGTGTTGGTTTTTCCTTGAACATGTCGGTGTAGTCTTCAAGTTCCTCTTGTGTCACTACGCTGGGCTTCCTGCGATCTCTGACCCAAGACAAAGGTGTGTAGATCTCATCAATCTGAATGGAAGAGCTGTCGTCCCATGGAATGATTTTCACCTTGTTAAAGGTGTTGTAATAAGACTTAAGCTGCTCTTGACACTTCTCAACATTCAACGGTTCTAAGAAAAATAGAAGAAAAGGAATTTAACTTTTATTGAAGGAATAACTATGCTAACTATGCACACGATGCCAAGTTTCTAACATCACACGAACTCAAGTACAGCTTTCTTGGCATGAAAGGATTAAGATAATTAACCCCTGCCAACGCCCCCTTCCCCTCCCTTTTCCCCCCCCCCCCCCCCCCTTCCCGGCAAAAAACCCACCCACACTCTGTTCCTTTATTTTTCCCTTTGTCGGTAGCTCTTTTGAAATTGGAGGGAAGATTAAATTTCCAGCATTTATTTTATCATGGATCAATAACGTTGGGAAAGGAAGCGGCCAAAGCAAATACAAAAAACCGCAGTACTTTTTCTTGAACAAGAATGACAAATTGTTATAAGAAAAGGGAAAGGAAAGAAGTTTGACTGTCTTGTCACGAGCGTAAGACAAAGGAAAAATTTTGAGTCCTCACCAGGAATAGAACCTAACACCTTCAGATTCTGCGCTCGGACACTCTACCGCTATAAGTATAATATAAGTTATTAAAACGAAAGCTTAGTATGTAAATTTATTCACTTGATAGTTACAATACCTTTATTACCTTGATGGACGCCACTTTTACAACCCTGCTCTCCTGTTGAAATGTCTGCAAAAGATAGAAGAAATTTATACTATTATGAGAATTAAAATACACTTCACTAAATTTGTGAAATGGGTAACAAGGAGGAGTCGAAATAAGTGCTGATTGAAGATGAAAATCTCGTGTGAGCCCGCACACGGAATAAAAGAGAAAAGGAAAATTATCTGACTTGAAGCATTGAAATTCATTGGGAGGGAATAAATGCTAAGATTTAGATCTCATCAATGTTTTAAACTGGTCAGTAACAGTGAGGTATTTCGCAGAAAGGTAAATAAAGAAAATTTGGGGTCATCTTACTACGCAAGAGTCTGGAGAGTAGTTGATAAGCGCGTTTAATCAACGATTTGTAATACCTATGATCAAAGACGAAAGATAAAAGATTTCATTTAAGACTAATAACCCTAACCTCAAAATTGGAATTAGAACTACTTAAGTGAATTTTAACAGCAATGCGATTGAAAAACAAAGAATGCCTATGTTTATCAGTTTTCTGATATATATTTAACTCCACTGTTGGTCTTCAAGTTCTCATAAGCTGCTCACGTTATTCTAAACGAACAGAAGATACAGTGACCAAAAAGCATGGTGTCTGTGAATTTAGGCACTGTACCTGTATGTAATTGTATTTTTATTGAATTGCAAGATAAGTGATACATTACCAGTGATAAGTTGCTCAGCTAAATCTGTGCGATTAACCATTGGATGACACAGTGCATCATGTAGGATCGTGTATGTTGCAGTTGAGCCATTCCTCTCTTTCCAATGTACTAACATTTTGTAGATTTTTTCAGAGCATTCCCTATTTTCATTATCAAACGCCGTTAATCTTGCTTCCTCAATTTCTAGACGACGCCCGACTGTCTTCCATTTTTCGAGTTTCTGTGAAAGCCACTCTAAATCTTCGTCGCTGGGAACTCCTTGCTTCACTAAAAACATAAAGACATCACAGCAAAGTATTAAGATGAGGGGATAGCGAGTAGTACGTATCGCATCTATTCATGCCATTTTGCCGGATCCACGCATTTTTATTTTACAAAACCAGGGAAAAGGAAGATGGGGTTGGAGGGTTAACGGGCACGCCCATAGATATGTCCTCATTTTACCTCTTTTCTTTGGAGTTGAGGCGTCACTCGGAGACCACTCTTCATCACGGCGTTTCACCTTTGACCGACGCGAATGTTTAATATAACCACCTGCATTATAACAAATGTAAAAGAAAATTAATCAGACCAGATTTTTTTGAGCCAACAGATTTATTGTAGCAATGGACCTATTTCCTTTCCTCATGAAACGTCTCCTTATAAATTTGCTTCAAGAACAATTCGCGCCATTGCATTATGTATCCCTACTGTGCATCATTTTACACGAAAAATCCACGCTCACATACGCAAACAGAAGATATTCTGTTCTTTTTTTTTTCAGCCAGTAAGAAAAACTGTCATCGCCACGTAAACGGATTTGGTGATATATCATTTATATCTCTAGTTTGCAATCGAACGAAAAGCTCTCAAAAACTATTTTTTAAACAATAAGCAACTTGGGTAAAGCCACTCTAAATCTTCGTCGCTGGGAACTACTTGCTTGACTAAAACGTTAAGGCATCACAGCAAAGCATCAAGATGAGAGAATAGCGGGTAGTACGTACCGCATCTATTCATTTCATTTTGCTGGATCCACGCACTTTTCTTTTACAAAAGCAGGAAAAAGGAAGATGAGGTTGGGGGTGGGGGTGGGGGTGGGGGGTTAACGGGCACGCCCATAGATATGTCGTCATTTTACCTGCCAAACGAGCTTTTCTTTTCTTCGCAGTTAAGGCGTCACTCGGAGACGACTCTTCATCACGGCGTTTCACCTTTCGCCGACGAAAATGTTTAGTAGAACCACCTGCATGATAATAAATGTTAAGTCATTACACAAGAACATATTATTGCAGCCAACAGAGTCATTGTAGCAATTGAGCTTTTTCCATTTCTAATGAAACGTCTCCTTATGAATTTGTTTTAAGTCCAATTTGTGCCATTGTATTGTGCATCCCTACAGTGCATCGTTTTACACGAAAAATCCACGCCCACATACGCGAACAGAAGATATCTTGTTCTTCTTCTTTTTTTTTTTTTTAAGCCGAGTCATCGCCAGATAAACGGATTTGGTCACATATGATCTATATCTCTAGTTGCAATCGAGCGAAACCTTAAAAAAGACTCTTTTTCATACAACAAGCAACTTGGGTAAAGCCACTCTAAATCTTCGTCGCTGGGAACCCCTTGCTTGACTAAAAACTTAAAGACATCATAGCAAAGCATCAAGATGAAACGATAGCGGGTAGTACGTACCGCATCTATTCATGCCATTTTGCTGGATCCACGCATTTTTATTTTACAAAAGCAGGGAAAGGAAGATGGGGTTGGGGGTGGGGGTTAACGGGCACGCCCATAGATATGTCCCCATTTTACCTGCTAAACGAGTTTTTTTATCCTTCGGAGTGAAGGCGTCACTCGGAGACGACTCTTCATTACGGCGTTCCGCCTTTGACCGATGCAAATGTTTAGTAGAACCACCTGCATGATAACAAATGTTAAAACATTAGAGAAGAACATATTATTGCAGCCAACAGATTCGTTGTAGCAATTGAGCTTATTCCATTTCTAATGAAACGTCTCCCTATGAATTTGTTTCAAGGCCAATTTGCGCCATTGCATTATGTATCCCGATAATGTATCGTTTTACTCGAAAATTCCACACCCACATACGCGAACAGAAGATATCTTCTTGTTGTTTTTTTTTCAGCCAGTAAGAAAAACTGTCATCGCCACGTAAACGGATTTCGTGACACACCATTTATATCTCTTGTTTGCAATCGAGAGAAAAGCTCTAAAAAACGTTTTTCCATTCAATAAGCAACTTGAGTAAAGACACTCGAAATCTTCGTCGCAGGGAACTCCTCCCTTGACCAAAAAAATAAAGACATCACAGCAAAGCATCAAGATGAGAGGATAGCGGGTAGTACGTATCGCATCTATTCATACCATTTTGCTGGATCCACGCGCTTTCACTTTACAAAAGCAGGGAAAGGAAGATGGGGTTGGGGGTGGGGGTTAACGGGCACGCCCATAGATATGTCCCCATTTTACCTGCTAAACGTTTTTTTTTATCCTTCGGAGTGAAGGCGTCACTCGGAGACGACTCTTCATTACGGCGTTCCGCCTTTGACCGATGCAAATGTTTAGTAGAACCACCTGCATGATAACAAATGTTAAAACATTAGAGAAGAACATATTATTGCAGCCAACAGATTCATTGTAGCAATTGAGCTTATTCCATTTCTAATGAAACGTCTCCCTATGAATTTGTTTCAAGGCCAATTTGTGCCATTGCATTATGTATCCCGATAATGTATCGTTTTACTCGAAAATTCCACACCCACATACGCAAACAGAAGATATCTTCTTGTTGTTTTTTTTTTCAGCCAGTAAGAAAAACTGTCATCGCCACGTAAACGGATTTCGTGACACACCATTTATATCTCTTGTTTGCAATCGAGAGAAAAGCTCTAAAAAACGTTTTTCCATTCAATAAGCAACTTGAGTAAAGACACTCGAAATCTTCGTCGCAGGGAACTCCTCCCTTGACCAAAAAAATAAAGACATCACAGCAAAGCATCAAGATGAGAGGATAGCGGGTAGTACGTATCGCATCTATTCATACCATTTTGCTGGATCCACGCGCTTTCACTTTACAAAAGCAGGGAAAGGGAAGATGGGGTTGGGGGATGGGGGATTAACGGGCACTCCCATAGATATGTCCTCATTTCACCTGCTAAACGAGTTTTTTTTTTCTTCGGAGTTAAGGCGTCACTCGGAGACGAGTCTTCATTACGACGTTTTGCCTTCGGCCGATGCAAATGTTTACTAGAACGACCTGCATGATAACAAATGTTAAAAAATCATTAGACAAGAACATATTATTTGAGCCAACAGATTTATTGTAGTAATGGAGGTTTTTCCTTTTCTAATGAAACGTCTTCTGATGAATTTGATTCAAGACTAATTTGTGCCATTGCATTATGCATCCCTACTGTGCATCCTTTTACACGAAAAATTCACGCCCACATACGCGAACAGAAAATGTCTTGTGCTTTTTTTTTTTCCAGTCAATAAAAAATACTGTCATCGCCACGTAAACGGATTTGGTGACATATCATTTATATCTTTAGTTTCCAATTGACCGAAAACCTCTAAAAAACTATTTTTCATACAATGAGCAACTTGGGTAAAGCCACTCTACATCTTCGTCGCTGGGAACTCCTTGCTTGACTAAAAACGTGAAGACAGCACAGCAAAACATCAAGATGAAAGAATAGCGGGTAGTACGTACGTAAGGTTGGGGGGCCGGGGATTAACGGGCACGCCCATAGATATGTTCTCATTTTACCTGTCAAACGAGTTTTTTTTATCTTCGGAGTTAAGGCGTCACTCGGAGACGACTCTTCATCACGGCGTTTCACCTTTGGCCGACGAAAATGTTTAGTAGAACCACCTCCATGATAACAAATGTAAAAAAAAAAATTAGATCAGAACATATTATTTGAGCCAACAGATTCCTTGCAGCAATGGAGCTTTTTCCTGATAAAAAGCTACTCTAAATCTTCGTCGCTGGGAACTCCTTGCTTAACTAAAAACATAAAGACATCACAGCGAAGCATCAAGGTTAGAGGATAGCGGGTAGTACGTACCGCATCTATTCATGCCATTCTGCTGGATCCACGCATTTTCATTTTACAAAAGCATGGAAAGGGAAGATGAGATTGTGGGGTGAAGGGGGGTTAACAGGCACGCCCATAGATATGTCCTCACTTTACCCGCTAAACGAGTGTTTTTTTCCTTTGGAGTTAAGGCGTCACTCGGAGACGACTCTTCGTTACAGTGTTTCGCCTTTGGCGGACGCAAATGTTTAGTAGAACCACCTGCATGATAACAAATGTTAAAAAATCATTAGACAAGAACATATTATTACAGCCGACAGATTCATTATGGCAATGCAGCTTTTTTCTTTTCTAATGAAACGTCTCCTGATGAATTTGTTTCAAGGCCAATTTGTGCCATTGCATTATGCATCCCGACTGTGCATCGTTTCACACGAAAAATCCACGCCCACGTACGCGAACAGAAGATATCTTGTTTGTTTTTTTTTTAAGTCAGTGAGAAAAATTGTCATCGCCACGTAAACGGATTTGGTGACATATCATTTATATCTTTAGTTTGCAATCGAGCGAAAAACTCTAAAAAACTCTTATTCATACAATAAGCAACTTGAGTAAAAAGCTACTCTAAATCTTCGTTGCTGGGAACTGCTTGCTTAACTAAAACCGAAATACAGCACAGGAAAGCATCAAGATGAGAGAATAGCGGGTAGTACGTACCACATCTATTCATGTCATTTTGCTGGATCCCCGCATGTTTCCTTTACAAAAGCAGAGAAAAGGAAGATGGGGTTGGGGGGTGGGGGGTTAACAGGCACGCCCATAGATATGTCCTCATTTTACCTGCCAAGCGAATTTTTCTTTTCTTCCGAGTTAAGGCGTCCCTCGGGGACGACTCTTCATCACGGAATTTCACCTTTGGCCGACGAAAATGTTTAGGAAAACCACCTGTTTAATAACAAATGTAAAAAAAATAAGTAGATCAGAACATAATATTTGAGCCAACAGATTCATTGTAGCAATGGAGCTTTTTCCTTTTTTAATCAAACGTGTCCTGATGAATTTGTTTCAAGGCCAATTTGTGGCATTGCATTACGCATTCCTTCTGTGCATCGTTTTACACGAAAAATCCACACTCACATACGCGAACAGAAGATATCTTCTGCTTTTTTTTTTTCAGCCAGTAATTATCGCCGCGTAAACGGATTTGGTAACATATTAATTATATCTCTAGTTTGCAATTGAGCGAGAAGCACTAAAAAACTATTTTTCATACGATAAGAAACTTGGATGAAGCCACTCTAAATCTTCCTCGCTGGGACCTCCTTGCTTGTCTAAACACATAAAGACACACAGCAAAGCATCAAGATGAAAGAATAGCGGGTAGTACGTACCGCATCTATTCATGCCATTTTCCTGGATCCACGCACTTTTATTTTACAAAAGTAGGGAGAGGGAAGATGGGGTTGGGGGGTAGGGGTTAACGGGCACGCCCATAGATATGTCCCCATTTTACCTGCTAAACGAGTTTTTTTTTTCTTCGGAGCTAAGGCGTCATTTGGAGACGACTCTTCATTACAGCCTTCCACCTTTGGCGGACGCAAATGTTTAGTAGAACCACCTGCATGATAACGAAAGTTAAAAAACCATTAGATTAGAACATATTATTTGAGCCAACAGATTCATTGTAGCAATGGAGCTTTTCCTTTTCTTATCAAACTTCCCTGATGAATTTGTCTCAAGGCCAATTTTTGCCATGACATTACGCATCCCTACTGTGCATCGTTTTACCCGAAAAACCCACGCCCACATATGCGAACAGAAGATATCTTGTGCTTTTTTTTCCAGCCAGTAAGAAAAACTGTCATCGCCACGTAAACGGATTTGATGACATATCACTAATATCTCTAGTTTGCATTCGAGCGAAAAGCTCTAAAAAACTCTTTTACATAGAATAAGCAACTTGGGTAAAGCCACTCTACATCTTCGTCGTTGGGAACTTCTTGCTTGACTACAAATGTAAAGACATCACAGCGAAGCATCAAGATGAGAGAATAGTGGGTAGTACGTACCGCATCTATTCATGCCATTTTCCTGGATCCAGGCACTTTTTTTTTTCACAAAAGCATGGAGAAGATGAGGTTAGGGGGTGGGGGTGGGGGGTTGACAGGCACACCCATAGATATGTCCTCATATTACCTGCTAAACGAGTCTCTTTTATTTTCGGAGTTAAGGCGTCACTCAGAGACGACTCTTCATCACGGCGTTTCACCTTTGGCCAACGAAAATGTTTAGTAGAACTACCTATATGATAACAAATGTAAAAAAATAATTAGATCAGAACATATTATTTGAGCCAACATATTCATTGTAGCAATGGAGCTTTTTCCTTTTCTAATAAAACATCTCCTGATGAATTTGTTTCAAGGCCAATTTGTACCATTCCATTACGCATCCCTACTGTGCATCGTTTACACGAAAAATCCATGCCCACATATGCGGACAGAAGATATCTTTTTTTTTTTTTCAACCAGTAAGAAAAACTGTCATCGCCACGTAAACGGATTTGGTGACATACCATTTATATCTCTAGTTTGCAATCGAGCGAAAAGCTCTAAAACTCTTTTTCATACAATAAGAAACTTGGATAAAGCCACTCTAAATCTTCGTCGCTGGGAACTCCTTGCTTGACTAAACACATAAAGACATCACAAGAAAGCATAGAGATGAGAGGATAGCGGGTAGTAAGTACCGCATCTATTCATGCCATTTCCTGGATCCACGCACTTTTATTTCACAAAAGCAGGGAGAGGAAAGATGGGGTTGGGGGGGTGGGGGTTAACGGGCACGCCCATAGATATGTCCTCAATTACCTGCTAAACGAGTTTTTTTTTCCTTCGGGGTTAAGACGTCACTCGGAGAAGACTCTTCATTACGGCCTTCAACCTTTGGCGGACGCAAATGTTTAGTAGAACTACCTGCATGATAACAAAGTTAAAAAATCATTAGCTCAGAACATATTATTTGAGCCAACAGATTCATATTAGCAATGGAGCTTTCTCCTTATCTAGTCAAACGTCTCCTGATGAATTTGTTTCAAGGGCAGTTTGTGCCAATGCATTACACATCTCTACTGTGCATCGTTTTACACGAAAAATCCGCGCCCACATACGCTAACAGAAGATATCTTGTGTTTTTGTTTTCAGCCAGTAAGAAAAACTGTCATCGCCACGTAAACGGATTTGGTGACATATCACTTATATCTCTGGTTTGCAATCGAGCGAAAAGCTCTAAAAAACTCTTTTTCATACAATGAGCAACTTGGGTAAAGCCACTCTAAATCTTCGTCGCTGGGAACTCCTTGCTAGACTACAAACGTAAAAACATCACAGCAAAGCTTCGAGATGAGAGAATAGCGGGTAGTACGTACCGCATCTATTCATGCCATTTTGCTAGATCCACACATTTTTTATTTCATAAAATCAGGGAAAAGGAAGATGAGGTTGGGGGTGGGAGTTGGGGG